CCTGACATAATAGTTACAAAATTTGTTTAGATTATAAAACCAGGTACGATGGGAAGGTTGCAATATTTATTTTCCTGTACTCTTTAAGACTGGATTGACTAGCACCAATCAAGTATCAATAATGACAGTTATCAGATTATCATCAGCTAATAAATATTTTCACCAAAGTTTTCTTCAAGCTCTATAATTTAACATTAAATGTACTACTGGATCAGAGTTTCATGAAGTTCTTTTTAACACTGGAGAAAATGCTGCACTGAAACCTCTTGGACGTTAAGAGTGCATATTGCAGAAAACCAAATAGCTTTTCTTTTTTTAGAACTCCCATTAAAGGTTCCTTTTTAGGAACTGATTTATTTTTATTAATGTCAACTTACGCTAAACTATGGTTGCCTTCCCAAACCTCTCTCCCTCCCCATAGCCAAGAGAATATGGCTGAATCTATTAAGATAAAATTCAGTAGGGATAAATGTAAAGTCTTATATTTTGGTACAAAAAATCAACTCCACCAGTACAAGAAGGGAAAGATACAATCAGACAGTAGTTCTCAAAAAGATCTGGGTTTTAATGTACTGAAAGCTCAATGTATTCAGCATTGTGATATGACAGCCCAAAAAACTTATGTAGCCTTGGGCTACATTAAGAAAGACATAGTTTCCAAGAATAGGAAGATGATAGTCCCACTGTTCTCCTTCCTGACACACATTACGTGGAACATCAGGTTAAATTCTGATCTCCACAATTTAAAGGACATTGATAAGTTGGAGAGGATAGTTAAAGTCTTTAAGTCTATGGCCTATAGTCATTTAATAAGTGCCTACTATGTGCTAGATTAGAGCACTTTTCTGAATGGGAACAGCTTGTTGCTAACTTGGAGGGAAAGTTGAGCCAGAACATGATTGGCAATAGTAGAGCAGAAAAGGAGCGGGCAGCTTTCAGAGACTTGGTGTAAAGCACTGCATTTACTCATCTGGGTCAGAACACTCACAAACACCAAGACTGATTTGACTAAAATGAAGGGAGAAATTCAGAAGCTGCTAAATGAAAAAACGAGAACTCCACAGGGTTTACCAGTAGGATAGTTCATTGATCTCTAAGAAGGCAACATTTAACTCCATCAAAAGTAAAGCAGAAGTGAAGCTTAGAGAGATACAGGAAGGATTCTTGGCTCAGTAAGAAGGCAGATGAAATTCAGTTTTACACTGATAGTAACAATCCAAAGCACTTTTGTGATGCCCTGAAGGCTATTTATGGACCAAAGACACCTCAACTACTCAGTGCTGATCCAGCCACATTCTCAACAGACCATCATCAATCAATGGTGAAGACACTGACCATGTACCTCAGGTTGAAGTCAATCTCTCTAGGCAAATTTCCAACTGAAGAAGACTTTACTGCCATTAGGCTCCTCTTCTGTGGCAAAGCACTTGGTGCTGATTTTATTCTAGCTGAGATTTATAAGGTGAGGGATCCATTGAGCATACAAAACCTGACTGAAATTTTCCACGTTGCATGAGGAGGTTATCCCCCCAGGAGTTCAAGAATGCCTCCACTGTCCATGTCTATAAGAGTAAAGGAAATAGATTGTCCTGTGACTATCACAAGGGGGCTCTCAGATCTCTTAGTCATTGCTGGCAAGAGTCTCGCCAGAGTATTCCTTAACAGGCTGATCCTTCACTTGGAAGATGGTTATCTACTTGAGAGCCACTGTGGCTTCAGAAAGGGCTGGGGAATGGTTTAAATAGTGTTTGCTGCACTATAACTCTAGGAAAAATACCAGGAGCAGAACAGATATCTATACACAATGTTCATCGATTTGATCTGACCAAGGCCTTTGATACTGTCAGTCATGATTGTTTATGGAAAATTATGTCAAAATTTGGTTGCCCAGAGAAGTTCATCAGTATTGTACATCAGTTTCATGATGGTATACTTGCATGGGATTCTGGATAGTGGATGATGCTCCCATCCTTTCCCAGTCACCAATGGAGCAAAACAAGACTGTGTGCTTACTCCCATGATTTTTAGCATGATGTTTTCAGCAATGTTGTCAAACGTCTTCAATAAGGACGAACACGGCATCAACGTAAGTCATTGAAAGATGGTAAATTATTCAACTTGAAAAGGCTACAAGCCAAGATTAAAATGGTGGCAGAGTTGGTGCATGATTGTTTGCAGATAATTGTGCACTCAATGCAGCCTCTTAAGCTGAGATGCAACAAAGTATGGATAGATTCTCTGCTGCTTGTGCTAATTTTGGCCTAACAATTAACATGAAGAAAATACAGGTGCTTCACCAGCCAGCACCACACCTTCCATATATGGAACCATCGGTTACAGCAAATGGAGAAGTTCTGAACGGTAAGTTCACTTACCTTGGCAGTGTACTTTTCAGGGGTGTACACAATGATAATGAGGTTGATACAGGTATTGTCAGAACTAGCTCAGTGTTTGGAAGGCTCCAAAGGAAAGTGTGGGAGAGAAAAAGTATCAGACTGCCTACCAAAATGAGGATCTGCAGAGCCTCATTATTGTATGCTTGTGAAACCTGTACAGTATAGCAGTGTCATGCCAGGAAACTGAATTGCTTCCATATGAATTGTCTTAGGAAGACTCTGAAGATCACTTGGCAGGATAAGGTACTGGACACTGTGGTCCTTTTTCAAACTAAACTACAAAGCATTCAAATTCTCCTGCAGAGAGCTCAACTCCAATGTCTGAATGCCAAACATATGCTTGCCAAAAAGACAAGAGATTTATGGAAAAATCACACAGGGTAAGTGCTCACATGGTGGCCAGAAGTTATTCAAGGTTACTCTTAAGGGGCTCTCTGAACATCTTTGGAATTAACTGATACATGGAAGACACTGGCACAGAACTGCCCAGCATGGCATGCCCTCATCAAAGAAGGTGCCACATGTGCTCTATGAGCAAAGCAGAATTGAAGTAGCTCAAAAGAAATGTGAGATGAGTAAGCTTAGAGAATCCACCCCAAATGTTCACATGGACTATTTGTGCCTGACCTGTAGTAGAGCATCCTGAGCTTGTATTGGTCTGATCCGCCACAGTTGGACACACTGTAACTTGAGTCAAATATAGTGATATCATTTTGGTCCTCTTCAAGTATAAAGGACAACAATCAACCAACTATGTGCTAGAAACTGTTAAGTGATGTGGACAAATATGAAAAATAAAGATAGGAAGTCTAATCTCTCCTACACATGACAATTCTTCAATTATTTTAAGTCAGTTATTTTATCACTCTCGAGTTTTCTCTTATTCAGGCTAAATGTGATTCAGTTCCTTCAATCAATCCTGTATTCTTGTCCTACTTCCAAATCTCTCATTTCCACACCTTCTCTTTGATGTCACCACTCTAGTTTAGACCCTCAGCACTTTTCCCTAGACTATTTCAATAGCCTTCTAATTTTTTTTTTTTTGGCTTTTTGGTGAGGCAATCAGGGTTAAGTGGCTTGCCCAGGGTCACACATCTAGGAAGTGTCAAGTGTCTGAAGCTGGATTTGAACTCAGGTCAGGTCAGTGATCTATCCACTGCACCACCTAGCTGTGCAGCCTTCTAATTTTTTTCCCCTGCCTTAGGTCTGGCCTCACTCCATCTTCCCTACAGCTGCCAATGCTTTCCCCAAAATTCTTATCACTTCTTTACTGAATAAGCTATAGTGGCTTTCTAATGACTCTAGGACAGGGGTGGGGAAACTGTGGCCTCAAGGCCCCTTGTGGACCTCTAGGTCCTCAACTGCAGCCCTTTGACTGAATATAAACTTCACAGAACAAATTCTCTTAATAAAAAGGATCTGTTCTGTAAAACTTGGACTCAGTCAAAAGGCTGCATCCAAGGGCCTAGAAGGCCAGGCAGGTTCCCCTCCCCTGCTCTGGGATCATCTTTATCTTATCCTCTAAAATTTTTATTTCTAAGTTTTATATTACATAAAATTATTAGTACAGTAGCATTTGAATGTAATTCATAAACAAATATATCTATTGGGAAGTGCCTCATTTTTTTTTTTTTTTAAATCAGCTAAGGTACGCAATCATAAAAGGTAAGCAGGGGCTGTCTTCTGTCTTTTCGAAGGCCCAGAGCTCTGCATACTTCTCCATGCAGTCTGGCTATAGTATAGACTTAAATCTTGTCAAACTGAACTGAAGCCCCCTTCAGGATCTGGCCACGGACCATGTCATTTGGAAGGCGGCTGGTGGCTCGATGGATACAGCACTGGGCCTACAGTCAGGAAGACCTAAGTTCAAATCCAGCCTCAGCCACTGCCTGTTTCACCCTGGGTAAGTCACTTAACCTCTGACTGCCATACAAAATAGATCTATATGGAGAGCCATTCCAGTATCTTTGCCAAGAAGAACCCAAGTGGGGTCTGGAAGAGTCGGACACAACTGAAAAATGACTCAATAAACGTCACTGGGCAAAGGTTTGTCAAGCCAAGAAGACACTGGGGGCCCTCTACTGAATGGCATCCTCGACAAGAGTCCCTTCGATGACGCCATCCTCTTCTCCACCCTTCTGCTCTTTGCAGAACGTCCTCCTCCACGCTGGCCCTAGGTAGGTGGCCCCATTTCACTGGGGCTGAATGCTAACGAAAGCTGGCAGCGCCCGGGGTCTCTCCCTTTCGCCCCCCTCCTCTTTCCTCGCCTGCAGGATGGCGAATCACCGGGCACGTTCCGCGCCTCGCGCGTGAGCCGCCCCGCGCATTCTTCTTGGGGTGGTCATGAGCAGCCCGCCCCCCTCCCCCGCCCCTTCCCGCTCCCAACCGTCACTGCTTGCCGCCCCCGCAAAGAGTTTTGGGAAAACACATCCGGCCTGTGATCCAACCAATCTAACGGGGGAAGGAGGCGGGTGCGGACAGGAAAGCAGGGAAATTCTCAGGATTGACACACTACCTGCCCAATGAAAACCTGAGTTTAGCTCGACTCTTGCCCAAATAGACCTGAGAGAAAGGGACTTCAACCAATCGAGGCCGGGGGCGGGGGTAGTGTTTGTGGCGACCTCCCAGAGGCTGTGGCGTTTCGAGGAGGGCGCTCGGTGTTGTGTGGAAGGGCTGGAGGAAGCGGCGCTGCCTGGGGCGGGGGGTGATTTCGTCCGTGGCAAAAGCCTCTGTCCGAGGAGAAAATGAGTTTAGCTCTGAGGTCGGTAAAGACGGGGCGGCCTTGCTCCACCCCTTCCCCCTCACGCCCCGGAGCCGGGGCCCAGCGGCGGGCGGGGGCGGGGAAGGCGGAGGGGAGGCGGGGAGCCCGAGGAAGCCGAGAAACCCGCGGCTAGACCGCCCTTCTCCCCGAGGTGGGTGAGGAGCAGCCACAGGCAGTGAAGGAGCCCGTCGGGTTTTGGGCGAAGCGCAGGAGACCGAGGTCACGACCCCGAAGTCTCGCGAGAGCTCGCGGCCCCGGGCCGTTAAACGGTGCCGACCTTCCTCTTCCGCCGGCCCGGACACCCACGTTCACCTGCCTTTAAAGAACGAAGCAAAACACCCCCCTCCCCCCGGGCGGAGCTGACGTCGTCCGGGCGTCGCCATCTTGGTTTTTCCCATGACAGTTTGGTCTTTGTTTTTATTTTTGGCCTCCTCTCACACCTTTCCTAGTCATTTAATGGGATTATAAAGTGATAATTTTAGAGCTGGAAGGATCGAACTGGGAAAAATGCTTCGTGAACTTAACATGTTACATACATGTTAGGTGTTAAAGCCGAGGTTCTTATTAGCCCATTTTTCAGAGGGGTATGTACCCAGAGGGTAATCTCTTGAAGCCTGTGGACCCCTTCAGAATAATGTTTGTAAAGGCATAAATAAAGGACATAAGATCTGCAAAGGAAACCAATAATATTGAAATAGTTATCAAAATGTCAGCCAGTTTGTGCCCTCTCCCCATCCCCCCCAGGTTAAGAACCCTTTTGTTAAAAGGGACGTTAGAAATCACCAAGTTTATCCTTTAATTCTGAAGATGAAAAACAAGTCCAGAGGGGGAAGTGATTTCACTCATGCTTTAGTACCAAGGGAATTTTAAACTTGGGTCCTTTTATTAGAAATCCAGGATTCTTGGCAGTTTCTGCCTTTCACCTTCTATAGGCAAGGCACTAACTAGAGCTTCGAAGGCAATTTTAAGTGGCAGAGCCCCTTAACATCATTTACCCCACAAATTCGACGTATTTTATTAAAGCGAATGTCTCCCCTAATAGCCTCACTTTGATCTCCCATCTATCTTTGCTTTTCTCTGTCTCTTTCAGCCCCCTTCACACATCATTTCTCCCCCCCCATCAAAGATTTCCATTGATTTTATCAACTTCTGCAGAGCAATACTCAGAAACCCTTTGATATGGGGTATTGGTAATCAAACAGAACTATGGCCTTGACCTCTTAAGTCAAGAAGAAATTTTCAGGCCCTCATTTTGAAGGTAACTGTATCCTCAGATCCATAAAAGTAACTTACTGATCTTCCTGGGAGATCTCATTGCAGCCACATCTACACTGTAGAAGTCAATAACAAAATTATCTGTACTATAGGATTAGAAGCTGTACAAATTTAGCTATGGTAGAGTTTTTATTAAAAATTCTTTACCCTTTAAAAACTTGTTATAATCATGCCACATTCTAGTTTCTTTGGAATTTTAGAAGTTGTAAATGACAGTTTTAAAAGTCAGTTTAGGCTTTTTGATACTTAATTTCTGTAATAAGATAAATTCATTTTCCTTTTTATCATATCAGCCTTTCCAGAAGAAGATACTGTCCTTTAATTGAATATGATAGGTTTTATTTATATTATGTACATGTAACATGTGGACCCATGTATAAGATTAATACAATTTTAATTGATTTTTGTTATTCAAGGAAAAACATGTTTAAGATACATAACTAACTTTGTAGGCTAGTATGCCAAAATATTTGGTGTAGTTGATTTCATGGATTCCTTTAGATTATTTTATGTTGCTTAGGTAAAGTAGAAATTAATTTTAGCCACAAGCAAAAGTGAGTCAATATCTAAGTTACTTTTGATTATCCTTAGAATTAGCTTTATACTGTCATAAATGCTACAGAAGGCTGTAATGAAAGTTTTAAGTTTGGACAGTTTTTTTTACATATCTTCAGAAAAGCTACTGTATCATGTGAGCTCTTAGGCATTGCTTTATTTGCAACAGTGTTAAAGGAAAGAAGGAAAATGACATATTTTCTCTTAGTATGGTATATCTGTGAGCTACAGTTTTCTTGACTAGTTCCTTTGGGAGGCCAAGTTAGTTGATGGAGGGATGTGAAAGGGTATGAGAAGGCAATTAAGTCATAAAAAGGCAGATTGTTCTATTTTTGTTCCCTCAAAATAGTGGTAAAAATTTGGAAAATCATCTTGATTATTTATTTGGTTACTTTTTCTCCCCAATCATATTCTGATTGTTGATGAATGCAAGAAAAATTGAAAGTGGACTACAAGATTTTCTGTTTCCTCTTTTTCATGTAGTAGAAATGAGCTTGTAGTAGACAAAACAAAAAGAAAAAAAAGACGAGAGCTGTCTGAAGAACAGAAGCAAGAAATAAAAGATGCTTTTGAATTGTTTGATACAGACAAAGATGAAGCCATAGACTATCATGAATTGAAGGTAAAAGTAATTCTTTTAAAGTTGGTTTTTTCTGTTGGCAGTGACCTGAAGATTGCTTCCTGACTAATTTTATACTTACCTGTTTTTAGAACTTAACCATTATGATACAGCTTTTGCAGTACTGTACCACATTGTTTTTTAATGGTATCCTAACACTTCTTTTTTTTTAGGAAATAATTTTTATATAGTGAGACATTCATTCAGCAGGCATTTAGTATTACACCTGCTATGTACCAGGCAATATGCTAGGCCTTAGGGAAATACAAATTAACATTTTAAATTATAAAAGATCATTACTATGAAAGGTACATACTTTTCACTCATAATATTAGAGGATTTTAAACTGTTAATTTGCAAGCATTTATTTAGCACTTAAGTATTCTATTTGGAGGTTAAAGAGTTTTTGCTTTCAAAGTATCTCCTCCTAATTAGGCCCAAACTCTTGTATATTCTGCCTTTGAAGCATGAAAGTGATCTCATACACACACACACACACACACACACACACACACACACACACACACACACGCGCGCGCGCGCGCACACACACACACACACACACACACACACTCTCTCTCTCTCTCTCTCTCTCTAATTTTCTCTTTCTCTCTCTCTCTCTCTCTCTCCCTCCCTCCCTCCCTCTCTCTCTCCCCCCCCCTCTCCCTTTTCCTCTCCCTCTCTCTCTTTTTCTCTCTCTCGCAGGTGTACACAGGCACAAACATGGTATCTCGTATATATCGGATTCCAAAAGTCTGACTTTTGGGATACTGTATTCTTATGCATATACACATGTATTGTGTGTACAAGAGTGTACACATGCATATATATGGTTTCAACATTACACTCTTCTAGTAAAGAGTAAAAAACATATGTGATATCTGACTAATATTATTGATGTTTATGGAAAGAAATGTCTAAATATGAATTGATAATAGCATTTTTATGGCATTTTTAAGGTAAAGCATTTTATATACATTATCTTACTTGATCTTCACAGCAATCTTGTGGAGTAGGTGCTATTATTATGCCCATTTGACAGGCTAATAGTTTTGCCCAGGATCACACAGCTAGTAAGATTCTGAGGCACCATTTAAGTTCATGTCTTCCTGAATCTGAGTCCAGCATTATCCACTATGCCACCTAGCAGCCCTCAGTTAAATTATTAGTTTAATTTACAAATATGAAGGAAATGTGGAATTGTGTATGTATGTGTGTTGTTATGTGTATGTGGGGGGGGATCTTGTGCTTGAAAAGATTGGGAATAACGGCATTCTTTTTGGTTGGATTCTTATATTGTTATAGCCTAATGGGAAAGGAAAATAAATGTGTACAAATATTTAGATGTGATTACTATAATCACTTTAAATTGCAAATAATTGCAAAAACATTTTTAGGACAGTTACTTTTTGATTAAATTAAGGGGCTTTTCATATTCTCAGTGGGAAAAGTTATAAAATTTGAAATGAAATGTGGGTGAATATTGAGTTGAGTGCTAGTGCACCTGAGTTCTAGTCCTGGCTATGACACTGAGACCTTTGGCAAGCCCACCCTTAACCTTTTTGGGCTTCAGTTTGAAGAAGGTGCCTTAATAAAGAGGAGGATGCTTTAATAATGACATCTCCTTTATAATCTGCCCTGTTTACTGCCATTAGGTTGGTCTTTCTGAAATGCTGTACATTTAATCATAAAACTAGCCTTGTTCAAAAATCTTCAGTGAGTCCCAGTGGATTGTAGACTAACTCTTTAGTCCGACATTCAAAATCTTTCATATTTTAGTTTTAGCTTCTTTTCCCAGATTTTTCCCCCATGTATCCCCAATGCAAACTCTCCCCATTTATGCATATTTATCTTTTCATTTCTTAAATAAGCCTTGTGCTTTTCTGTCTGTTTACCTTTGCTTATTCTTCTTCTCCTTACCTCAGATGCTCTCAAAATCCCTCCCTATCTCACTCTTGCTCAACTAAGATCCTTCTGTCCTCCATGTAAACTTTATGAAATGTATCTTAACTCTTAAGCTCACTAGACAAATTACTTAGCCTTTGTAAAACTCAGTGTCGTATTCAAAATGGGGACAGTATTAGTTGTAAGGAAAGTTCTCTTTAAATGATTAAATGGCATATACCTATGTTGTTACTTACTTTTTACACTTAATTTTCAGTTTGTCATGTTTACCTCTGATTGTGAGTTCTCAAGGTGGATATATGTGTAGCACAGTGTTTTGAACATAGTATAGGGCAGTAAGTATTTGTTGATTGATTGAGTTACAGAGAAACTTATTTAGCGTGAGATGTCATTTGGCTTGGAAGCAACTCTTAAAACAATTTTATTAAGTTTTTGAAATTGAAGGTATGTTCTGTATTCTGTTTTATGGGTCTGATGGTCATTTATGTGCTGTATTTGTCTTTTAAAATCAGAAATCTTTATTTTTTTAAAGAGAGGAGAAGAAAAAATGTATGCCTCTTTCATTTTGGTAGCTTGTAGTTTGTATTTCTGTTTTATTCCAAAAGGTGGCAATGAGAGCCTTGGGGTTTGATGTGAAAAAAGCAGATGTACTAAAGATTCTTAAAGATTATGACCGAGAATCCACAGGCAAAATCACCTTTGAAGATTTTAATGAAGTTGGTATGTATTTTAATATATTCCTTGTATTCAGAAATGATTGGGAAATTAGCCTGCTTTGGAACTTTACAGGAAAAGGAAACTATTGTTATTTTTCTGGTTTCTAATTTTTTTTTGTTGCTGTTACAAAATACTGCAATATTTTTTTAATTTCAGTAGTTTCATGGAGGAATGAAGTGATTTTATCATTTTTTTCTATGAGAAGACAGTACAGTTTTGTGGGTCAGATTTGTTTTTCATTTTTTTGGTCTGTTTTGTTCTGAAGACTCTGAATTGTAATAAAATTAATATATAGAGGAACTTCGAAATGCATAGGAACAAATCCTTTTTTATAGTATATTTTTTATGTGCAATTATATAACAGAAACATTTTACAGTTATCCTTTGCTTTTGGAGTTCGCACATTAAATTTTAAAAATATTTAAAAATGGAAATGTCTGATTTTTTCCCACTCTTTTTGATGTTTTGTTACTTTTTAATTGCTATTAAAATCTAGGGATCTTTTCTAGTCTCTTCTTTTAAAGAGGCAGTGTTAATATTTGGCTTGAGGAAAAGCCCTTGGTTGATTTTTGGGTAAAATATTAGGTATGGTAGAAAAACCAACAATGCCTAAAAGTAGTTTAGGTATAGAAAGAAATTTTTTTCAAAAAATTTTTCAAAATTTTTTTCAAAAGTTACATAATGGATAATTTCATGTGCCAGACTAGGCTAAGTAAAGATAGTTACTTGATTTTTAAAATTGTTCCAGATGATTTGGTGGCTGGTTGTTGACACTCAGCACTTTTTGACACCTAGAAGCAATAATTGACATTAGGCTTGTGAGAGTAACTTCTTTAAAAACTCTTAGAGGGGCAGCTAGGTGGCACAGGCATAGAGCTCTGGTCTGGGAGTCAGGAGGACCTGAGTTCAAATGTGACCTCAGACACTTGACACTTACTAGCTGTGTGACCCTGGGCAGGTCACTTAACCTCAGTTGCTTCACCAAAAAGCAAAAAAACAAAAACAAAAAATTTAATCTTATAAAAATATTTAATCTGTTTACTTTGATTCTGGTTATAGAATCCCAAAATTGTTGGAAATAATTTTATTTTTTTTATAAAATGAAATTCTAGTTTACATTGAACTATTAACTTCCTTGAAGTTTTGTTAGCAATTGCTTTCTTCATGCCTTCCCAACAAGCTGAAAAACAAAAAAAGATGGGTTATGTGCCCTATTATAGTAGGTGCTCAATATATGCATTATGATACTGAATATAGCAGTAATCAGAATATTAGTCAACCAGTGTTGATATCCACTGCTGGTATGACACACTGCTGAAGGCCTGTAGGAGATTAACGAAATAGTATAAACTACAAACTGTACTTGTTAAAGAATTAGTTAGATAAGACTTATGCCCACTAAATAGTTCCGTAACAGTACAAGATGGAATATGATTACATGCTGAAATAAGTGGTATGGGTATATCATTAAGCTATAGAACTTCTAAGGGGAAAGGCTATCATGGTCTGATTTAACTAATGAGAGTTTGTAGATGAACTGAGATATAAAATGCTAGCTGATTAGTGAAGATTTGGCTAGGTAGAGGGAAGTTTGGAAAGTATGCAAGAGGCATGTACCCACTATGAATAAGGCACTATTCTAGATGCTGGGGATACAAAGATAAAAACAAAATTGTCATTCCCTTGATTAGTTTATATTCTACTGGGAGGGGGATACAACATTTACACAGCTAAGTAAATATATGATAATTTGAGGATTGATCAAACTGATCAAACTGATAGCTGGGGGTGAAGGGGATTAAGAAAGGTTTCTCACCAGAGGTAGCATGCAAGCTGTGCCTTGAAGGACACTAGAATTTTAAGAGGTAAAAGTGAGGAGGGAGTATATTCTAGCCAGCAAAAGCCCAGAAGTGAGAAATGGCTTTTCAAGCAGGACATTAGGCTATTTTAGCTGACGTGTAGAGTAGATAAACAGAATCAATTTGAAATCACTCTTTGAAAGGTAGGTGGAGCTAGATGATTGTTGTTGTCAAGTTGTTTTTTAGTAGTGTACAACTTGTGACCACATTGTAGTTTTCTAGGCAAAGATTCTGGAGTGGTTTGCTATTTCCTTCTCCATGGTCCCCATTTTACAGTTGAGGCTACTGAGGCAAATGGAGGTTAAGTGACTTGCCCAGGTCACACAGTTAGCAAGTGTTGGTCCCTGACTCCAGGCCCAGCACTCTGTCCACTGTCATTAGCTGCCTGTAGCTAATCATAGAGTGCTTTAAATGCCCAAAGTCTTTTCTCTTAGAGGAAGTAAGGAGCCACTGAACTCTTCATTTTTGATACAAATATTTCTTTCCTCTCCCTCTCACTGAGTTACACTATACCTAAATTACTTTTAAGCATTGTTATTTTTTCTACCACACTTAAATACTTTACCCATAGGAGTAAGCAAGGGAGTGGCATGGGTAGATCTGTATTTTTGATGGTAAATAATAATATTCAAATACTAATAATATCTAGCCTTTATATAACACTTAAGATTTGCATAGTGTTTTACATATATTATCTTGTTTGATCCTCATTACACTTTGAGAGGTAGGTGCTATATATGTGTATTTTTTTTTTTTTTTTACAAATTTTACAAAATTTACAAATTTTTACAAATTAATTTACAAATTAGGAAACTGAGACTGACAGGTTAAGTGATGTGCCCAGGATTACACAGTAAGTATCTGAGGTAGGATTTGAATTCAGATCTTTATTTATCTAGGGCTAGAACCCCATCTGCTCTGCCACCTAATTAGGCAACTTTATGGAGGATGAATTGGAGAGGAGAGACACTGGAAACAGGGATGCCTAAGCTTTTGTAGTCCAGTTGGGAGATGATGAAGGTCTAATCTAGGGTGGCAAATGAATAGAAAAAAGAGGATAATTGTAAGAGATATTGTAAAGATAAAATCAACAAACATGACATAAGAACTGATAGGATATAGAGGAAGATGTGAAGGGTTATGGGGATGACTCCAGGGTTATGAACCTTTTGACTAGAAGGAGAATGCTTCTTTCAACGGAAATAGGGATGTTAAGAAGGGCGGGTTTAGAGGGAGAGAGAAGTTCTGTTTTGGATTTGTTGAATTTTAGATGCCAGTGGCACATCTAGGAAATGATGTCTAGCAGGCAGTTGGTAATGCAGGACCGGAATTCAGGAGAGAAATTAGAACTGGATTTATAAAAATTAGACATCTGCATAGAGATGATGAAGCTGAAGGGAGAGAGAACATACCAAGAGAAGAGTATATGGACAGAAGAGATCCTGGTTCATAGTGTTAAGGACCCCCAGAAATTTACCAGGCAGGAGGTGAGTAGTAAAGTAGATGTAGAAGGAGCAATCAGACAGTAACAGAACCAGGAGATGATAGTAGTATCATGAAAACCAAAGAAGGGAGAAGGTTCAAAGAGGTCAGCTAGGATGAGGAATGAAAAAGGGCCATAAAGCAATTGACTGAAGAGAGATTTGGAACCCTTAGAAAAAAGAATTTTAGAATTTTTGTTTTTGGTGATTAAGTTCACAATAACAAAGAAAATTTAATTTAAAAATGAGAAAATGATAGGGGAGTAGTGGGGTTGGATGCCAGATTTCCAATCTGGCAACTTAATTAGGGGCTAAGAAGCTGGTTGGCAGTGAGGTCATGGAAGCAAAGAGTGTAGATGGTTCTTTATAGGAGTTTAGTTGTTGTTGAAGTGAGATGAAGTAGATAAAATATGGGATGATACCTTAAGATTGGCAAGACTAAGAAAAACTTTTTTAAGGTAGGAGAGACTTAGGCATGTTTTTAAGTATTATGTAAGGGAGTTAAGGAATAAAGAGAGATTGAGGATGAAACAGGGAATTATGTGGGATGGAATAGGATCCAAGGCAGAAGTAGAATGTTTAACTTTTGCAAAGGAAGAACATTCTTCAAAGATGAGAGGATGACGGATGATAATGGGGTTGAAAGATATGATCAAAGAGGAATTTCAGAGTTCACAATCATGAAGGTAACACAGGTCTAGATGTTGATGTGACACTGTAGATGCTACCATGCCTGTGGACGGCTAAAAATAGAGCAGCTCATAGGAGTTGTTGATGAACTGAGAGGCTAGAGTATTTCCAAGGAAAGAGCAGTACATGAACCACAGAGAAGAGTATAGATTAAAAATGATGTGGTTGGAAAATTCCAAATGAGGAAAAAAGTAGCTGGAATAGAAGGTTCCTAATAGGGAGTACTGGGTGGTAAAGTTGGAAAGGTAGCCGACCTTGAAAACCAAACTGAGGACTTTGAACTTTGTTGAGGAGGTGTCAGGATTCCATGACCTCTTATATACAGGTGTGTCTATGTGAATAAGGAAGGACTTGGAAAATGTTAAAGATGTAACTGATGTTTGTGACGCAGCATTATCACTGCCCACCTCTGTGGTATGTGTTATGCCTTAGTACTTTTAGCATCTTACAGTACAGCTCACTGCACAAGACTGTCTCCAGGGAAACCTATAATATGAGGAAATACAAATATAGACACTCTGGAAAGCCATGTAGGTAATCCGACACTCCAGAGCTAAACTGTTCATCTGTAAAGGTCCCATCTGGCTCCCTTGTTCTCCTTTCAGCAGTCAGCTTTGCTGTATAAGAGCCATTTTAGGAGACCTGAGTTCAGAAGCCTGAGCTATTACCTTTGTTTTTATCAGCTAGCTATAGGTAACCTCAGAGAGGGAGAGAAGCTGACACTTTTTTCAATCCTTTTGACAGCAAGTTGTTACTTTTCTGCCTCACAGAAAATTGTTCTGCCTTGCTGATTGTAGTGTATGATAGGTATATGTGAGCGATTGAAAATTTTTGAGTAGTAGAGTGAATCCTAAAAATGGCATAGGTTTGATTGGTAAGGAAAATACTGGGGGCAAGGAGGCCAATTAAGTGGTTATTCTAAAAATCCTAATATGGAGGAATAAAGGCCCAAACTAGAGTGATCCTAATGTGA